TACTGATGAAAAGATGCAAACACTAACTTTGAATCCCGAAGAGAAACAGAAAAGAGCAAGGTCTAATGATACACTACATCGAGAATTGAAATCAGACATAAAAAGAATGAATAGCAACTGGAAAAGATTGTTCAAACTGAGTTCAATGGAAAATGATGATGTTTGGCCTATACTCCTTCATGACGGGTAACAGGTGTAAGTAAATAAGTGTTACTGATGAACAAAATTGTTTATCCCATTCATCATCTTATATAAATACAATTCCACAGACTTTCAAACTGAAATTATTCAAACGAAATAAAGATACTTAATTGTATCACATCTAAAATAATATGAATTAGCTGATCATCCAAAAGATACAGGTGTTTATTAACAGTTGTCTATGCAAAATACTTCGGATCTGTTGGCCGGACACTATTAGCAACAACCTACTGTGGGAGGGAACAAATCAGATCCCAGTGGAGGAAGAAATCAGGAAGAAGCGCTGGAAGTGGATAGGACACACATTGAGGAAAGCACCCAACTGAGTCACAAGACAAGCCCTCACATGGAATCCTCAAGGCTAACTAAAGGAGGAGAGAAAGACCAAAGAATACATTACGCCGACAAATGGAGATAGATATGAGAAAAATGAACAAGAATTGGATGGAACTAGAAAAGAAGGCAGAGTGGGACAGAGTGGGTTGGAGAATGCTGGTCGGCGGCCTATGCTCCATTGGGAGTAACAGGCGTAAGTAAGTAAGTACGATAGAATGAATCCAATTATTTTGTATATCATTATGGGGTTGTGGAGACCATTAAGTTTCTGATTGAGATCATGAATCGATTGATGTGAGACTATCACTGAAAATCTGGAAGCACTGGTCAGCATTTTCGTCCTATTTTTGGGACTCCACAGTAGTGCTCATCCAGGAGGATCGTGGATTGGGCACTGTTGAGGAGTCCCATTTGTAAACTTTGTTTACATTTATTAAAAGAATTGATTACATTAAAATACTTTGAAAATTGCTAATGGTTACTTAAACATAATTATGACTAACCAGAATGTTATTGACTGAAGAAGATGAAAAATAGTTGTTTTCATTTAAATACCTTTAACCTTTTTATGATTGATGTATTACTTTAATTCATAATTGACTAGTAATAAATGTCAGATTGTCTAACTTTGATTACTGGCTGAATTAGATCGATTATTGTGTATTATACATAACCGAATATCTTATATTGGATAGTTATGAATGAATGAAAAAGAAATGCCTAAGTGATTGAAATAACAATAAATAACTATAGTCTATGAATTATATCTATTTTATTCTTTATAAGCAAACATAGATAGTGGTTAGTGATGGAATCTACGATTCGCGTTTCGTCCTAGTTGAGACTCATCAGTTGGATATATTTGTATTTCACAGTTGATGTTCACTCTAAGACACGAACTCAGTACTGTCCGTTTCAACACAACATCGTGTTATCCACTTAACTATTGAATCCTGATAGTCCCTTGCTTTTGCAATGGGGTGAAGTTTAAATTCACTTGGTATTGTTTGTTTGAATCTTCCCATTGATGTTTAGGAATGCAATATGCATCCAAGATGCCGTATGTGAGATTTGAACCCAGGACCTATCGGTCTCGCGTGTAATTGCTGAACCTCTAAATCAATGAGTAGGCATTCAGTGATTTTAATGTCTAACTCCAATCTATTTATAGTCTTGCGTAATCATTCATTCATTATATGAGGTGAATACTTGTTTCTACCCGACACGAATAGGACTCCAGTAGTCAAGGCTTTTCACTATAACTCCAGGAAATCCATCAGGAAACTAGTTACTGGTAAGCATATAATTATTAATAGTGTGAGGATATGTGAAGTTTGTAGTATTTTAACAGTTGAATTCATGAATCAATCTAGACTGTGCGGGATCATGGATGCGCAATTCTGAAACTTCCAGTGGTTCCATGTCTTTAATGGTGGTTTAGCTCAGATGTACTTATGAATTAAAGTATTAAAGTTACTACAATCAACAAAAAACTCCATATTGATGGTTTATATTCTTGTATAATTGTACAGTTGTTTAATCTGCTACGGTAATCGTATATTATTCAATGGAATTTATTATAAACTAACTTCAAAGCTTACTTCTATCATAAATATCTGTTTTAATTTGAAAGATTAGTATTTATGAGTGTTTGTATCAACTATTTTTCAGATGACATCAATGTCCATGACATTCCACTACAGATCGTCTTTAGTAACTTTGTCAGGATTGAATAAGTAACGTACTAATAATGCTTAGAAATGTATCATGCAAGGCATGATAATTTGGATTTATTTTATTCAAGTTCAATAGTTGAGGTCATGAGTCATTTGAAGCTAGAGCACAATCGTAAACCGGGAGCACTGGATGACTGTTTCGTCCTAGTATGGGACGCCTCAGCAGTGCGCATCCACGACCGCCTCCCCTCACGGGATTTGAACACAGGACCTATCAGTCTCGCGTCAGGCGCTTAACCAACTAGACCACTGAGCCGGATGGCATCCAACGGTGTTAATGTCGAACATCAACCAATTCACGAAGTTGCGCCACTGTACAGCATTGTCTTTAGTGAGCTGATATCTCACAACAGAGCTGATTGAACTCCACTGATAACGGCTTCTCACTAGAACTCCAGGAGTGTCTCTTGAAGTCAGTCACTAGTGAGCAGATGATTATTATCAGAAGGGGTTGTGTGGAGAATTGGTAATTTCAATAGTTGAAATCATGAATCCACAGAAGTTAGACCACCATGGTAAACCTGGAAGCACTGGACGGCCGTTTCGTCCTAGTATGGGACTCCTCAGTGGCAGTGCGCATCCACGATCCCGCCCCCCGCTGGATTCGAACACAGGACCTATCAGTCTTGCGCCAGGCGTTTAACCAACAAGAACACTGAGCCGGCATACAACAGTGTTAATGTCGAACTTCAACTAATCCACGAAATTCAGCAACACATCCACCATTGCCTTCAGTGGCTTACTATTTCACAATAGACCCGGTTGAACTCCATTGGTCACTGCTTCTCACTAGAACTCCAGGATATATCTCTTCAAGTCAGTTTCTAATGATAGAAAACTATCTAATTAACTGAAATGTTCTCTTCATTATCATAATTAGTATTAAAATACACTAGATTAGTTCACAGTCTCATCTGAGATTGAGTATAATACTTTAAAGGATCACAGTGAGTATTTAACATTTAAACGAACGTAATGTCATCGAATGGTTTACATTTCTAAGTTTCATCAGTTGCTACTATTCAAAAAGGTTTCATACTAAAAATAAATAATTATTCAATTGATTATGTAACTAAGATCAGTTTGAAATGGTAAAATAGAAAATCTTATTGAAACAGTTTTTGTAGTGTTGCACAAAAGTGTTAAAGGGGGTGTATATTAAGGTATATTGTAGCCTTAGCCATACAAAAAGAAATAGAAAAATCCTATGTGCGTTCAAAAAAAACAGTTTGTTGCCACCTTAATTAATTAATTAATTAATTAATTTTAACATATAGATATTGGTACAAAGAGGCACCAAATATATATGCGCCACACAGATCTCATTGGATATGTGGAAGAGGTCTGATACTGTCCGGGTGCCCAAAGCGAAGCAGTTGGTTTCCTTAGGGGATCACACCCCGAGCCTTCGACCTGAACGTCTAACCCACAATGCAGTGGAGCATCGTAAGGAGATGCAGTCCCATGGAAGCCGGTGACCAACGATTGATTCATACGCCATTTGTTCCTTCAGAATACTGGAGCTCATGTGCACCATTGGTTTGGGATCCGGTTAAGACGCCGGACATTCGCTTCCAAATGCCCTGATACGGTCGAGAGTGGGGAGAGTCAGCTCTCCCTCTCCAAATGCTCTCACATGGCCACGCGTATATAGCCTCTGCCAGAGAAGTCCTACTCACTGCCTTCTCGTGGCGGAGGTGTTATTTACGGAAATGAGAGGACGAAAAGCGAAGCGTTGTCACCTTTAACCTACTCTGGTAATATTAGCTCATCATTATTTCAAAAGTAATAAGGTTTCAAATTGTTTTCACATTATTATTTTCTTTATTATCCTTATCTCCTCATACCTTCTATTTCTAGTCTACTTGATTGTTCGAAATGTATTACCCTAATCACATAATTCTCATAATCATCGTCTTCTTATTACACTATAGGAAATTATTCTCTAGACTATTTATCTCGTGTTGATACAAGAAGACAGTAAGACTATAATTTATGGACGATATTTGAGCAACTCTAAGACAACCTTGAAAATATCCACCTAGTAACGAGGAGTGAATAAGGGTTATAAACCAATGTGGAGAATTAAAATCATGATTTACAGTTAATAGTTATGGTTAGAAATTAGATTGGGAGGGGTGTTCATCACGTACTGACATTAACTATAATACCAAGACTGTATTTCTCCAAGTGTTTTACGTAGACAACTGATTATTAACAGTTATCTATGCAAAATACTTCGGATCCGTTGGGTGGATACTATTAACAACAACCTACTGTGGGAGAGAACATGCCAGATCGCAGCGGAGGGAGAAATCAAGAAGAAGCGCTGGAAGTGGATAGGACACACATTGAGGAAAGCACCCAACTGAGTCACAAGACAAGCCCTCACATGAACTCCTCAAGGTCAAATGAGGAGAAGAGGAAGACGAAAGAATACATTACGCCGAAAAATGGAGATAGATATAAGAAAAATGAATAAGAATTGTATGGAACTAGAAAAGAAGGCAGTGTGAGACAGAGTGGGTTGGAGAATGCTGGTCAGTGGCCTATACTCCACTAGGAGTAACGATCGTAAATAAGTAAGTAAGTAAGGAAGTAAGTAAGTATTTATTCAAATGTATGAATCAATAAATTTCGTGCTAAAATCTATAATGTTTTATCTTAAATCTGATTGATTTATCTATCAATGATAGATTAATTATAACAATAAATAACTGAACTTACTTTAAAGAAACCTTTACATCCTTCACATGTTCTTACACCATAATGTTGACATGCTGCATTATCTCCACAAACTAAACATAATTGATGACAATCTATTTCATTAATTGATATAGAATTTATATCATTTAAATGATAATTAGATAGTTTTGATAATCTAGAATTATTTGAATGTAATGATATCATTGATGGTGTAGATATAGAAGATAAATTAGATAAATTAGACGATAATAATAATGATGATGATGATGATGCGGCTGGTGCTGCTGCTGATGATGATGTTGATGTTGGTGTTGGTGTTGAATTATTCCCAGTGAAAAATGATGATGTGGAATGTGTTGATGATGATGATGATGATGATGATGACGACGACGACGACGATGATGATGATGATGATGATGATGATGATAGTAGTAATAATGGACTGATACATGTATTATATTCATTATATAATTTTATATTCTTATCATCGATTGTATCTATTCCATTCATAAAACAATTATATGAATGTAAATATGTATCTGTATTTGATTTATTCATAAATAATGTATCATTGAATAATATTGTATCATTCATAGAATGATTAGATCTATTATTCATTATCATTGTAGATGGATGAGGATGATGAGGATGAGGATGAGGATGAGGATGATGACGATGATATAATTGATTTTTATTCTCTAGATCTAATCGATTAGATAAATATTTCTGTGGAAATCTTTTTGTTATGATATTCATATTAGGATCAAATGAATTCTTATCTTTTATAGTTCCTATGTTATTATCTTTATAATTATGAATACATTCAGATGTATTCGATATTGGTAAATGTATAAAATGATCAAATCTATTTAAATATAAGTCATTATTATTATTAGTAGTATTAGTATTAGTAGTAGTAGTATTAGTAGTATTAGTATTAGTAGTATTAGTAGTAGTATCTTCAATAGAAAGTATAATATTATCATTATTTAATATTGAATGTATAGATGAATGATGAATCATATTAGTTTCATTTATAATTTCATTCATTTCATTTATTCCATTCATTTCATTGGTTTGATGTATTTCATTTATTCCATTCATTTCATTGGTTTGATGTATTTCATTTATTCCATTCATTTCATTGGTTTGATTATTAGTATTATTATTATGATTATGATTATGATTAAAATATTTTACTATTAATGGTTGTTGTGCAGCTAAATATTTTGAATTCATTTTTAATTTATCATGAATATCTGTAGAAGGAAATATATTCGATGAGAAATATGTTAATGGATTTATATTAAAATAATCTAATGTTGTATTATTATTATTATTATTATTATTATTCAATTTAGATAATGGTTGTTGCTGGGGTGGTGGTGGTGGTGGCACTGGTGGGTGTTGTTGTTGGTGTTGTGGTGATAGTGGTGGTGGTAATAGTAGGTGTTGTATTTCTTCATTAAATGTATTCCTTATATTTAACTTATTATCATTATGATGTTCATGATGATGAGGAAGAGGAGGAGGAGGATGATGATGATGATGGTGATGATGAGGATGAGGAGTAGGAGTGGGGGGAGGAGGAGGAGAACAAGAAGAAGAAGAAGGATGATGATGATGATGATGATGATATTCATTATTTGTACATGATATATATCTTTGTGTAATTGGATCATTACAATAATCAAATGTTATTGAATTAAAATGATCTAATTGTTCTGTAGAATAAGTTGAATATTCATTATTATTATTATTATTTATTAATGTAATAGAATCATTATTTTTATGATTGATTGATTTCTCTATTGATTTATTAGGATCATAATAATTTAATGATATTGATTTTTGTGGTAGATATGATGATGAAGATAATGATGATGTAATATTATTGATTATAGGAAAATGTTCAATTGAATTCATTGATGTATGATATATATAATCATTAGATTGACCCATAATTTGTTTATTTAAATCAATATTTGATAAATCATATGATAATGAATTATTATATTGATTTAATAAATGATGATCAATATCCGATATAAATGGTAATTCATTATTGAATGTAGATGTTTTGATAGAATAATCAATAAATTGATTATTATTATTATTATTATTATTATTATTATATAAATCAATAGATTTATATGATTGTTTACTGAATTTATATGATTCTTTATTAGTTATTGTTGATTCATGATTGATTAGATAAGATGAACAGGTATCATTTATTTTACGTTTTAAACGTGATGATTTCAATGATGATAACGATGATGAAGATGATGATGATAATGAATGATTTTTCTTCAAACTATTACTACTACTACTACTGTTAGTAGTAGTAGTAGTAGTAGTACTAGTAGTATAAGTAGTACTACTTCTTGTTGTTGTTGTTGTACAAGTTTCATGATCTTCTATACTTTTAATATTTTCATCTTTATTTATCCAATTCATATGATTATCACAATTCTTATATGCGACAACTGAAGAAGAAGAAGGATGATTAAATGACGAAATCATTTTCTCTTGTTCATATTTATTCTCATATGAATTTATAATACGCTTTTTTACAATTTCTTCCGTTGGTATTATAGTATTATTATTACTATTATTATCAGTAGTCATAGTAGTAGTAGTATAATTCTTTGAAGATTCTATTAAATCATATTTATGTAAACATTTTTTATTGATTGTTAAATGTTGAATATTTTCAATAGATCTTTGATGATGTAATGTTTCTTCATGAAGTAAATCATTTCGAACATCTTTATCATTAAATGATAATGATGAGGATGAGGAGGATGAACACGTCGATGACGAACAGGACGATGTTGACAATGTTGACAATGTTGATGATGATGATGAAATTGGATCTATTTTATTTTCATTCAATAAATCCAATTCATCATGATCTAAATTAAATATTTTTGATAAATTCAATGTATCATTTGTATAATTTGATGATAAAATTAATGAATGATCATCAATATTTGTTATCAATGGATAATATATTGATTCGGTATTATATCGATTATTCAATAATGGATACCATTTAGATGAATTCAATGAATTTGTTTTATCATTGATTAATTCCATATTATAATATGATGTCATTTTATTCAATGTTGAAGGTATCATCATCATCATATTATTATTATTATTATTATTAATCGATAATTCATTTGAATGATAACAATCAAATCGATTATCTATATCATGTTCATAAGGATCATTATTGAATTTAGTTACTAAGTTATTTATACTTTTTGTTATACAATTAGGTAATAAAGATAGATTATTATTACTATTATTATTATTATTATTATTATTCTCTTCTACATTATGACATACTGTTGAATAGGATAATTTAGAATTATTCAATTCTATATTATTATTATTATTATTATTACTATTATGATGTAATATAGGTTCTGTGTAATGTATTACATCATCAGTATTACATTTATGATAAATATCTTGTTTAGATGATAATTTAAATGAACATTCATTAAATAAACTATTTGTATCTATATAATCTGAATTATGAATAGATTCTATTGGATTATTATAATATAAATTATTACAAGAGGATATAGATGATATATGTGAATCATTGAAATCATATGATGAATGTATCATTAATGTTGAATTAGATGTATCATGTAAAGATTGGAATGTAATTGGTATAGCCATTTAATATTCATCACTAAATAGAAATATATATATATATGTATATATATTACTGTTAATTAATAGTAAATGGTAATATCAATAGAATGAATAACAATTGGAAAAAGATAGAAACGATTGTCAAGGTAAGAGTTGAATAAACAATACTGATCAGTGATTTATCATGACTTCATTCAAGCTAGATTACTATGTGTTCTGGATTCGAATCTTGCAGGGGGGTGGATGAGATTGTAGATGAGTAGTGTTGAAAAAGTGTTCCATAATAGGACAAAATGATTGTTTATTCAGTGCCTTCAGGTTTTTTTTTTATAGTGTTCTAGATTTAATTAACTTATGATTTTAACCAGTGAACTTGCTAAAATCTTTCACACAATCCCTTCTGATATTAAACATACATTAAGTCTTCTTTAAAATGATTGTATTTATTTATATTGTTTGTTTGTTTGTTTGTTTTTTACTACTTTTTACTTACGACAGTTATTTCTTATAGAGAAGAATAAGCTATTCAACAGCATTCTTTATCTAACTTTATCTTTGAATAATACTTTCTAGTTATTAATTTATCAATAGTTGAAATCATGAGTCAATTGAAGCTAGACCACCATGAAATACCTGGAAACACTGGATGGCTGTTTTGTTCTAGTATAGAACTTTTCAACAGTACGCATCGACGATTCCTTCGCTCAAGATTCAAATCTAGGACCTATCGGTCTCATGTGCATGCGATTAAAGATTAGACTACTGAGCTGGCATCCAATGGTGTTAATGTTTAAGTTTAACTAATCCACAAAATTGAGCCATAATCTACCATTGTTTTTAGTGAATTACTATCTCGCAATAAACCCGGTTGCACTACACTGGTCATTGCTTCTCATTAGAACTCCAGCAAATACCTCTTGAAGTCAATAACTGGGGAGCATATGTTGATTCATATCACAAAGGCTTTTTGTGGATATTATAGTAATTTTAGTGGTTGAAATCATAAGCCTATATTGTACCAAAATTATAATTATCATCACTGTTTTAACAAATAGGAACAATCGGATGTATCTGAACACATTCACTTGATATTGTTTTACTTGAATCTTCCCATTGATGTTTTGGACTGCAGTGGATCAGTCTCTTATTGGCATATGTGCATACTATGTGTACTGCCTCGATATTGCCTAAATTTACAAGCATTATAAGCAAAGATGGATAGTGGTTAGCAATGGAATTTAGGACGCGCGTTTCGAGGCAATACACACAGTATGCACATATGCTAGTAAGAGACTGATCCACTGCAGTCCAAAACATCAATGGGAAGATTCATGTAAAACAATATCAAGTGAATTAAACTTCACCCCATTGCACAAGTAAGTGGCTAGTAGGACTCAGTAGATAAGTGTATAACGCGATGGCGTTTGAAGCGAACGGTACTGGGTTCGAGTTCCAGAGTGAACATCAACTCTGAGATTCAGGTACATCCTGCTGACGAGTCCCGAATCGGACGAAACACGAGTTCTGGATCCCACTGCTAGCTACTATCCATCTTTGCTTCTAATATCTAAACACAGTTAAATAATCACTTAGTAAAATCTGAGACCATAGAGTAGATCATTCATTTGCAAAATATCAATCAATTATCTCAAACTTCACTGTTCCTTCATTTCCACACCAATCATTCTTTATTCTCATTCTCTTGTTTTTTTTTTTGATCTTCTTTAATCTTCTGCCACCAGACATTTCCATTTCTACTGATGATACATACTACTTGTATCTATCGACATTAGTAGCACACTGACTTATAGGAAATTCATTTTAACGTTAACAAAATAAATTCCAGTATTTCAACCAGTCATACGCGATACTGATAGGTTCTAGGTTTGAATCTTGCGTGACAAAGTCATGGATGAGCACTGCTGAGAAGTCAAACAATAGAACGAAACGGCTATCAAATGCTTCCAGGTTTTTCATGGTGGCCTATTTACAATTGACTCATGATCTGAACCATTAAAATATTTAAGACTTTAATTACCATACAAATAAACATGATATATTTCGCTTTTGTGTATAACACAAATATAAACCAAAGAAGTAAATGTTATGTTATGGAAAACTCTATAACAATTAGTTTCTTACGTTTTTATATGATACAATCAATAGAAATATATTTAAACTCTCATATTTCCGTAATCAAGAATCATGATTGAATTTGATCAGTCTGTGGAGGATATCCCGTTTATGTAGTTGATTAGATAATCAATTATAGTTTAAATCAATGGACACTTATATCACATAACAGGCTAAGTAATAATTTTACAATGTAGGTCTAATCAACCGAAAATGAAAATCTAGTCTTCCATAGTATGGTAAATAAAAATCAATTCATTGTTGCTATGACAGTTAATTATCATGATTGATTTCTGTCAAGTAAGAATACAGTTTGACTTCTTAAACTGCTTGTAGTATCGTTGATGAACTCGATGAATCTGATGCAGATATATAGGCGTGGATCGGCAAAACAAGAGCAGCATATATATATATACAATTGAACAACAAATAAAACTTAACAGAACTCTCCACAAGACAACACCAAATTCAGAATCTTTAATATGAATGTGAACACAGTACTACTGTATGAGGCGGAAATCTGAAGAGCTACGAAAGCCATCATCCAGAAGATACAAGTGTTCATTCGGATCCATTGACCAGACATGATTAGTAACAATCTACTGTAGGAGTGAATAAACTAGATCCTAGTGGAGGAATAAATTAGGAAGAAATGCTGGAAGTTGATAGGACACACATTGAAGAAACCACTGATAGATCCTGGGTTCAAATCTTGTAAAGCGGTATTGTGGATTCGTACTGCTTAGGAGTCTCACAATCGAATGAAACGACTGTTCATTATTTCCAGATTTTCCATGGTGCTGCAGCTTTAATAGACTCATGATCTCAACTATCTACAAAAACTCTTTCTGATATTGATATTTATCTATTTGATGATAATGCTCATCACTAATTAATATCAATGAACAAATCATTGATAAAACAATTGAGACTGTGACATTTTAACATGATATAGTGTTCTTCATTTACTTGAACTGTACATTCCTACTTCTATTTGTATGGTGAATATAGTGTTTATCGAAAGATGATTCGAGATTTCAAACACCAAATAAGCGAGTTACATACATACTGATCAGAACTAGCTATCCGCCTAGATTCATCGACAGGTAATTAACATCAAGCAACATCCTGTAAAAGTATTGATGGTTCAAAAGAAAACTCTTTTTATGAATATCGAATGGAATGTCAATACAGTTACTGAAATCTTGAATAAACTAATTTGAAAATCCCTAATTAAATAAAAAAAAGACGTTCAATTCATATATTACTCGTATTGCCTTCTCTAACCAGTCTATAATTCATGGATGTTTTAAGCATAAACTTTCACTTTGGATTATATCGATATGCATCTATAAATTTTACTTGGTCTTATGGAGCAGGTTATACTGGTCGTACAAACTGATCACTTTCTAAACGTATCTCAGAACATAATCTGATGTCACTTTTAATAGAAGAATCCTAAACAATCACCGCCTCAATACAGGAGTACGTAATTAATTCTGGACATGTTACTTCAAGAGAGGTTTCCTTCAAAATAACATATACAAACAAAGAAACTGGATTGAAGTGAGAGTGGATCAAAAAATCAATGCATTGTTAAATTATTGACGATCTACCAATTCAAGTTCGAGCTCTGAGCACAAAAAAATGATACATCTAACCTATCTTCCTTCCTTCACTATAATTCCCTTCTGAAGTACATTTTAATCTTGTTTTTGTTTTGTTAATTTTAAACTGTGATCAGTTATTATTATCCTTTATCAATTTTTCATGAGGATTATTCATTTTCAGAAGAGGTTTCGTGGAGGATTGGTAATTTCAATAGTTGAAAGCATGAGTCAATTGAAGCTAGACCATCATGAAAAATCTGGAAACACTGGACGGCCATTTCGTCCTATTGTAAAACTCTTCAGCAGTGCTTACTAGTGACTGACTTCAAGAGATATTCCTAGAGTGTGTTCGAATCCCGCGGGGGTCGGGATCGTGGATGCGCACTGCCACTGAGGAGTCCCATACTAGGACGAAACGGCCGTCCAGTGCTTCCAGGTTTACCATGGTGGTCTAGCTTCAATGGATTCATGATTTCAACTATTGAAATTACCAATTCTCCACACAACCCCTTCTGATAATAATCATCTGCTCACTAGTGACTGATTTCAAGAGATACTCGTGTAGTTCTAGTGAGAAGCCGTGACCAGTGGAGTTCAATCAGCTCTGTTGTGAGATATCAGCTCAATGAAGACAATGGTGTACGGTGGCGCAACTTCGTGGATTGGTTGAAGTTAGACATTAACACCGTTGGATACTGGCCGGCTCAGTGATCAATTGGTTAAGCGCTCACGCGCATGACTAATAGGTTCTGGGTTCGAAATCTTAAATCATTTCATGATGTAATCTTTTCTATCATTCTCTAAACTTATATAGTTACCAAACAACTCTAGATATAAATGTACAGTTTTCCCCCTGTATGAAACTGGGAATATGTAAATTAGGAAATAAAGAATATTAGAGAATATATTTCTAAAATACCAACATTGGTTTAACTAATTCTATGAATTCGGTGTTCATCTTGTTGTACTAATACAGTATAGTAACTTGGACTGATGTATATATGTACCTGGTCCTACATGGTATCAGACTGTTTGACTGATTTAGTGTCTTGAATTGTGTAAATAAATGTACATAGAAGAAAATCAAGTCTAATGTATATGAATTACCATAAAGAATTAACTTCTTCTTCTTCTTCTTCTTTGAGACTAATTCCAAAACGTTGGTTTTAATTAATAGATGACATAACTTTACTGTATTAGTGAATAGTAAGCTAAAGAAGATAACTCAATACAAAACTATGCTGATAGACTGATTTCATTGTTGAACAAAATGTACTGGAATCATTTCAGTATA